GAAGAGAAGAGAGGAGGGGGGGGGGGGGGGGGGGGGGGGAAGCTTAAAATGCTTTTGGGTTTATTTTAAGAACTAGACCATTTCTTTCCTTTTTGTCAGAGATAAAGTACACTTTAAAAAGTGCATAAGGCCTATGGTATTATTATTAGTTAAGCATTTGTTTCTCAGATGAAGTCCTTTATCTCAGAGGCAGCGGCATTTGCGTTGCTGTGGTTATTCACGTAAGTTGTACTCATTTAGGACTGAGCAACATGCAATTAAATAGCCATATAAAACACCCACAGGGTGAACAACAGCTACCTACAGGTAACCTTAAATTTCATGCACTCACGTGCCAAATGTTTCAGCTCTAGCCATGTAAATCCTCATTTGCATGTGGGAGCAGGGCAGGCCCTTTCCTCCATCGCCATGGGTAGGTAAACAGGAGGCACTCCTCCACCAGGCACAGCACAAATCAAGCTTTTAATGAGTTGGTTAAAAGCCTGATGCTGCAGATAGCTATCAACAGGAGCGCTTCTCGACCCACCACAGGGTCAGCCCTTCCCTGGCTTCCCTTCCCTCCTCTGCCTTCCTCTCAAGAGCACAGCTTATCCATTTTTAATGTTAAAAAGAATTCGTATCCAAGATCCGATAATAATTTATTTTCTCTCTCTTTACGCCAATTTTGCTTGACGGGGAAATGCCAGCATGCACCGCCCGTCCCCCCCAGCTGGGGACACTCCACCCTATGAAAAAGCCAAACACTTGCCAAACGAAGGGCCAGGATTATATAGTTTCCCCCTGAGCATTGTGGGAATTCTTAGTTTGTGCTGGACTTCTCTGGAAAAATCTCCCCTCCGTTTTGATGCTGATACACTTCAGCACAGCAGCAAATTTTCAATGGTGCTTCAAGGGAAAGGCAGGATTCAGAGTGTTTCTTACCATTTTATTTATCTATCTTCCTCTTGGGGACAAAGGCGTATACGCTAAACCAGAAGCTCTCTTCATATCAGCTTTTGCACACTCCTGCAGTATTCCTGGCAGGAGAAGGTCAGATATGCTTTAATGTGAGTTGCTGTCTCTCCAAACATTGTTTTGTAGCATCCAAAGCAGGTCTGTAATTCTGAATTTGGATATTTTAAGCTCCAACCAAGATTTTGAAGTGCACATAAAATAACTGCTCACTACATGCAAATCGTTGCTTCCTAATGAATGGCACTGCTCTAAGGATTTGCATGGAAAAAAGTTTTAATCTTATTACATTATTCCAGCCAGTTCAGTGAGGGGAGAGCCCTTCCTACCTCCTCCTCCAGCGTGGTCCTCCCCTGTGCTGGCCGGACCTGAGCATGGCATTCACCAGCGATACTAGAGACATCCACACACGGCAATCCGCTGCCCAAGGCGCTGAGCCAACCCTGCCAGGCAATCTGGGGGCCTGAATAGGTTTTAAAGCAGGTTGGAAGATGGGAAAGAAATTTTGGAATGTTTCTTGAAATTATGTTCTTTCCATTTTATGGCATTCAATTTAGATTATTTCCTTTTTCATCCTGACTTTTTTACATTTTAGTAGTTTTTAATTTTTCGTTTAATGAAAATTAATTCTCATACTAGAATCTAATTTCCGTTCATTAAGGATAAAAGATGATGATTTCAAGCAATGAGTTTCTCCAAATCCAGAAACCCTAAACATATGCTCAACACCAAGCTTATGAGCAACTCCATGTACCTTAATATGTGTGCTTATCTCTAAGCATGTGCTTAAGTGGTTTGTTGGCAAAAGCTAGAGTGCTTATCCCTTTCCAGATGACCCTATTTAATATTTACCAGCATTAATCTGCTCAATAACTATAAACACCAGAAAAAAAACCCCACCATTGAATTAGCTTTTCCAAATGTGATTTCTAGATTACCCAGGAGGGTCAAACTGTTCCATGCTCAAGGGCTGACCCCAAAGCCATGGGAATCAGTGGAAGGGTGTTGACCAATTACACCAGTTTGGGGATGAGATCCCCTGTGAGAAGAAACACCTTTTTGATTTTGGCACTGTGACTAACAGGGATAACAAAGGCTCTATGCTGACATTAAGAAAATTGGTTTTATGTTTTGACATCCTGTTGACCTCCAGTGCACTTAAAGGAAGCTGTTAATTTAATGGTTGCGTCAGAAAGATACGGCAGAACATGTATTGCTGAGCAACGAAGGAAATTTCCAAGCCTAATGTCAGCATTAACACCTGCACAGGACAGTACTGACAGCAGGCACCCCTGTACAGAGCATAAATTTAAAGAATCTGCCCTTGACAAGGAGAAAATTTTCAAAACAAAGCAGTAGCAGCTGATACAGACTCTAGATACAGGCTTTGGTATTTGCCTCCACCATGAAAGCTGTCCTCCGGCAGCAAAGCCTCTCTAGATCCTACATGTCCTTCCAGTTGGATTTGATGCAAAATGAATGGATTAATCCTCGCCCACCGCTTGCAGTAAGAGGCTGCACACAGGGTCTTATCTTGCCCTGTTGTAAAGGGTTCTCAGCAGCCCTCAAGAACCAGAAAAGCTTATTTTGCTATTAAGTCTGAGCAGTGCCGTGATTTCACTGCAACTGAATTTGACTACAGGTGGTATCCATTTTACTGAGACATCAAACTTATATCATGCATACATGCAAAGGTAAAAGTGGAAGGTAATGGTTAGACACTTACCTAAAATGAGATGCTTGACCTAAAAATATAGAAAGATATAAAGGCCCTGACTCAACAAAATACTTCAGCACGTACCTAGCAGCAGACACGCAGGTGATGCTGTTGAACTCAGCCTGACACAGGTGCTGTAACTAGTACTAAGATAATCAGGATTCATTACAAGTTGGATGGGATCTGAATTACAACTGTGCTGTAAAACCATGTTTTTAATCCGTGAATGCCAGTATATCACTTGAAGTGATGAAGCTATAGTCTTTCCATTGCCTGCTCAGACACTGGCTTATATTTATACCCCAGAAAATACCTTAATTTACAAAAGCAAAGTAGAAAGATTATTTGGGTTGTTGCATTACTTTTAAGAAGAAAACCTTTATCTTTGTGTGTCAGGCTGGCACTCACACTCAAGCTGAGTCCCAGCTCACTGACCCATACTTGATGCTTCTACAGATTTGAGCACTGACCTTCCAGGCACGAGATCATGGACTTGTGTCCTTGATTCCTACAACTCACAGCATTGCTCCAAACGTTCCCGATTGTGGGTCACTTTTGACTTGGACTCATTCTCTGTTAAACAGCCCACCACCTCCATTCACCCAATCTCCCCATCTGTCTCCTGCACAGCTATCACTGTCCTTTCCCTGACTCTACTCCCCACTCTTCAACCTGTGGCTCAGGGTCAGCATCATCCTGCAATCCTTTACCTTGCTGCTTACACTTTTCATCCACTAGCTCCTTACAAGAAATGGAAAGGAAAGTTCCTTGCAGCTTCAGCCAACCTAACCTCCTAAGGTCTTTCTGCCCAGAGAGACAATAACTATGGTTCAAGCCAAGATACTATCTCTTCCAGACGAGGGAAGTCTGGCAACCCTGATAGCTAATGACCTACGTAAGCCTGTGTTACAATTTCACTTTCCATAATTCAACTACAGTTTCTCAACTGTGTGGAAATGCTATATGGTATTTATGGAAACATTAATGTTACTTAGATTTTGGAAACAGTAACGCTGTTTTCAGTAGTCTTGGTTAACCACAGTCTTGAACTATCATCTCATTCACTTGATAAAGCTTAGAGATGCTTAGAGGCATTTCTACCAAAATAGAAAGGAAAAATTTGTGAGGCGTTTCAGAAAACAAAATCACTCCTGGGTGCGGGTTCCTCCTCTCATCTGGCTGCAGTCAGTGCAGGTGTCCATCTGCACACAGAGCAGACGGCAGAATTAAAGCCTAAACCTATAATCATTAGTCAGGCAAAATTACAGTGGGTGATGGTCTGCTCAGCTGAACCGAGTGCTTTATGGCACGTAATCAGCACACTCCTGCCCGATAACCTTTTTAATCTCTTGGGTTTCTAGTCAGCAGTTCTGCTCGTGTGGGCAGCAACATACAAAAGCTCTTTTCTCTGCAAGTGTTATAATTTCTATTCCAGTTCAGCATGCTTCCTTATTGAACTGTCATTGCCTACAAATGAGTTTTCTGAGCAATTAATACTACAGGGGCTCTAATGAAGATGCCATGTAAGATTTTGCTACAGCAACTCCAGGTGATATTACCAGTCTGTTGCCCTTTTCCAGCTCTTCAAAAACATGTCTCCTTAGATCCTGATTTGTCCTGCTAAATAGTGCAACAGCACTGAGGCACAGGTTATTTTGCTTGTGTTTAAAAAAGATAACTCTAGCACTAGATATATCATTCTAGAGAATAAAATCTACCATTTATCAAGTCAGGAGGAAAGTATTAGCAGCAGCGCTCCAGCTTTCCACAGGCCATCCTCATGTCTCTGGGCTGTGTTTGCTTTAGATGTTTTTCACCTCAAATGTTTACCATGGACACCTTGCCACCACTGTCACCCACGCAGCTCCACTTCTGGTAGCAACCAGGAAAGCAAAAATGAAGTGCTGCCAACTCTTGCTCTGATCAGAGCAAAGGAGATCGAGCAGCCTACTAAAATATGCCAGCTACTGTATGGCTGTAAATGGTAGAGCAG